TGTGGGAGCGATCATCAAGGAAACATTTTATGATGCTTCAGAGATGTTAATCACGCCTCAGCCCAAACGACATTTCACATTTCAAGCCTTTTTTTGCTATTTTTTCCCTTTTTTGTTTAATTTTAAATGGACTGGGCTATTGCCTAATGATTAAATTTTAAATGGATTGAGTCAGTGAACTATTTTAAGTGGATTGAAATATAAACTATAAACGTTATTCATTTTGATCCATTTTCTTTTTAGTTCCTTATTATTTTCATACATAACTAATACTATGTTTTTAAAAAATAGGTGGGTCCTAGGACCCACCTTCACTATACATAGTTATGCAAATCACATTTCACATTTCAAGCCTTTGCTATTTTTTCCCCTTTTTTGTTTAATTTTAAATGCACTGGACTATTGCCTAATGATTAAAGTTTAAGTGGATTGAGTCATTGAACTATTTTAAGTGGATTGAAATATAAACTATAGGCTTCATACATTTTGATCCATTTTCATTTTGGCAAAGTTTATAAGGTAGGTCATTGAAAAATATAAGGTAGTTCCTAATTTTTTTACATACATAACTAATAGTTTTTAAAAAATAGGTGGGTCCTAGGACCCACCTTCACTATACATAGATACACCTCGGTACTCAACTCTATTTACACTATATTTATAGAGTAATGGATAGTTAAACTCTAAATTTGGAGTGTTGTTACACCACCTTTAAACATATTATATTTTTACCAATGTTTTAAAAACTAGGTTTTTAGTTAAACAAGACCAGTTCCTGGTTCAATCGTCGGGTCAATCCGAATTCTAGAAGTTTCATGTTTTTATTTTTATTTTTCTACATACATATATACATCAATCCAAATACATCAAAAGAAACATAAAGTATATTATACCAAAACAAAATATAGTTTTAGATGAATACAAACCCATCAAAAACTTCATGACATTTACTATTGTTTAGTAACAAAGCCACACAACTTAAGATCCTTAGAAAAACTTATCAAATATCCAATATATATATATATATATATATATATATATATATATATATATATATATATATATATATATATATATATAAATGAGTTCTTTATCATTTTGAGGGTCTACAAAGTTAGCTAATATGAGCTTTAGAAATCAAGTTCTGATTATCTTATATTCAAAGGGCTCTCATATTCACTTTCTTGAATTGAAAGAAGAGATCCGTAACTGGTTATCAAACAAAAGATGTACACAATGAAAAAGACAACCAAAGTTTGTTATGCAAAATGCATCATTTCCACGTGGTTTTATTCAATTTAATCGATTTAACCGAGTTTTAACGGCTAAATTTAATCGGTTCAATTGGGTTTTGTAAAAACTAATCGGTTCGTTCCAATCCAAAAATAGGCATAAGACATGTGCTAATTAAACCGTTTCATACCTAGTTCCTGGTCCAACTTGTTCGACCGGCCCATTCGAAACGATTTTTAAAACAATGATTTTTACACTCTATTCATAGAGTATAAAATTGAGATTAGAATGAAGTTTGAACTTTATTTTACTCTCTATAAATAGAGTGTATAAATAAAGTGTGGTTGAAGATTCTCTTAGGATGTTACTAACACTTTAATAGATAAAAAGTTTTAAAATGTTAGTAAAGACCTTTAAACACAAATGAAATCTTCTAAAGACATTCTATCTTCGAACCAATTCACCTTCTCTTTTCTTGTTACTTGAGTTAAACGTCACAAAATACATGTTTTCAACTTTTAAATCATAGTAAAAATCATAAAGGTTAGTAATCAGAATTATATATTATACGTATAACGAAAACCACTTTGATATGGTTTTATAAATCTTGATTTATAACAGCTCTCAAAGAAATAATCATATACATAGAAGGAAAAATCATCGATTACTCTCATCATGATTGTTCATACAACCCAAATGAGAAAGTCTTTTTCTATACAACACTTTCTCCGTATATGTATATTTATCCATAAGGAATTATAGACGCACCACCTTTATCCTGTCACATATTTAAGCACTTCATTGTTACTTGATGGGGAAAGAACTGTTGGTGATTTTAGTGTCATCATGTCATTTTATGTAACTGGAACTAACATGTGAGCTAAGGGGTTTCATAATTTATACTCTAATATTTGTACGGGTTGATGCGGAGTGCACGCATGTATACGATCGAATTAGAAGTCGGTTCGACGACAAGTCGGGGGTCCGAGGGCAGCGCCCCTAGCGGGGTCCAAGGAGCAGAGCCCCTGGCTAGTTTTGGTAACCCTAAATCCTCATTAAATCTGGATTACCCTGACTTGCTTCCAAAGCAACTAATGACGGTCCAACCCTAATGAAACCCAAATCTCGTTTATTATATAAACGGCTCTTCATGTTGTGAAGAGATATCCGAAAATTAGCTCTCGTTTTCTTCAAACTCTCACAATAATCTTTCTAGCAATTGGATTACGATTTCTGTGCCTAGAATCGTAAGTGTCCACTTGGATTATCCTAGACTGAATTTCTTGCAACCCAAGCATAGGGTAAAAATATCAGTTCGGAAAGTGTTCTCACGATCCAAGTTGGTATCCAGATCTCCACTACATACCCTATATTCTCCTACAAGAACGACATGACGGAAAAATGAAAATGAGATTTTTTTTTTCCGATTACGAGTTAAAGTTTTGATTTGATACATAAACAATGATATTTGGCATCGGTAAAATAGATATTTTTTAATCTTCATGGTACTTCATCACACGGTCTTGTTATCCAACGTGTCTCTTCCCTGTCCAAACATCGTTGTTGAACTTCATTGAGTTGTCTCTTTAGTTTGTGACTTCTTATTACTTGTCCACCTATGTATTTATTTGATAACATTGGTGCTACATATTTAGAGGTCAATCTGGACTTTCAACAACACACTAAAAATATTGATATTGACATTCATTTTATACGAGATAATATTGTTTTCTCAAGCCCTTAGTGTTCGTTATGTTCCTACGACCTTCCAGTTGGCTAATATTTTTACAAAACGGTTGTCTATTCCTTAGTTTTAAGTACTATGCAACAAGCTTCATGATTTTTACTCCTTCAAGAAGTTGTAAAAGTGTTAGAAGTAGTTTCGGATTATAGACTTGGGTGTCACTGCTCATATGAGTTTTGATCTATCCTTAATTATGGAGTTTGGATTCCTTTAAAAAGGTTATAAAATTGTTAGTAGTGTGGGATTCTTTCTATTACTTATAAAAATATCAACCTACTAGAATATCATTCATAATAAGATAATATAGTTATCGTGATTATTCATTGTTCTCTCTTCTTTTTAGGTTAATTCTTTTAGAGCCACAAATGGCCACCATTTTGATCATACTATCCCTTGCATCATATTTAACTTTGTTACAACCATACATGTACGTACTTTAAACTCCTTTCTTCTAATTAATAGAAGTTATAACTTGGTTGAATTTTTCCAAAAAATATTGATGAAAACTTGGGATTCAAGCTTTGGCTTTACCGCTTTAGGGTGGAGCAGTCAATCCCTTCCAACATATATGTCACCTAGTCCTTACATAAGTTTCTACTTTCTATGTTTTTTCGGTCATTATTGAATAGAAACTATTTTCCCTTTATCAAGTAACCATGAACTTCAAAGACTTTCAAAGTTCAAACAATTTATAATTTTAATTAAATCACATTAACCAATCAAACAATTTATTTGAAAAAAATCATATAACTTATTGACTATTGGCAACACAATTTGAATCTCAATCATATCCTACAAAATCATATATTATAGTTCAAAAAGTTGAATATATAAGTTCATATTCATATAGAAAAATAAGTTAAAAGTTACTAACAAAAGCAATTTTAAACCCAATATAAGTTCATAAACACAATTACACAAGTACTTAATTCCGTGCATCTTTTTAAGAATTTGTATATTAGTAGTAGTATTTGGCCAATATGGTTATTGAGAGCATATATATCGGCTATGGACTACTAAGGGCATATAGTATGAAATATAAATCTTCAACCAAGTTTTAATATAAAACCTATACTCTCCTAATATGTGGTTGGGTGCCTATCCCCCCACTTGTTAAAGGCTGCATCCACCTAGTTGTTATATAAAACCTATACTCTTCTGTCACTTCCATTCCTTCCAACCACAATAAAGGAAAATTATTATTAATCCCTTTCAACTCATATTGGTACAAGTTATGATGCATATGTTACAAGTAGAGATGAGAGAAAAGAGGGTGGGAGCAACGGTTCCATGTAACCACCCAACCCACACATTATGTGGTACCCCCGGTGGTGTAATTGTGACACCGGTGTTTCGCTCCCAACCTGCACGACTTTGTGCACCCTTCATTTGCCTCCCTTTCTAATCGAAATGATATGATTATTTAAACATATACGCCATAACTGTTTATTTTTTTATCCCTTTGATTACGTACAAAGGACAAACTAATGAAGCACTCTTTATTAACATTTTGAATCATCAAAGTTAAAATCGATACCAACTCAAAATATAAACAACTCTCAAACCTATTTCCTGAAAAAGCTATAAGATCACATTACTGATCCATAAAATTTGGATATTACAGGAAGGGCAAAATGAGTTAATTGAGATATCTACTTCTGTCACTAAAGATCATGGTCATTTTTGGAATTGAACTCAATTATTGTACAACATGTTCAACAACAGTCAACCACCCTTCCCTACCGGTAGCCCCTCCCCGGCGGCATCTAATTATTCCAATTTTAGGAAAAAATTTAAAATTAATAAAGAGAATGTCGGCCTTGATCAAGACCATTCTAAAACTTTACCCCTTAACAACTTGAAATCAAAAGAACATGTGATGATGTCATCAACAAGTGGCTCGGTTTTTAATTTTCCAAGAACACCTGTTTTCCAGCACCTTATGTTCAGAAATCACCCATATCCTTTCCCTTATATAACAAAAATAAAATATCTTCCCTGATTCACAAACTTATCACCGCCGATGTCACACCATACAGAGGCTTTGAATGATCTCCAGCCACCTCTTCTCCCTCCAGACGACCATGAACTGCCACTCGAGTGGCTCTCCGTCGACCAAATGTTAACCAAATATTGCGGCGAGTTTGGGTTCTGGCAGCTCAAACATTTCATTCTTACGTGTACAGCTTGGGCTCTCCAAGCCTTCCACACCATGGTTATGATCTTCGCCGATTGTGAACAGGATTGGACATGCGAACCAGGTTCTGGATGTGTATGGGACGCCGACAAGAGCGTTTGTGGGCTTGACCCAGGTTCATGGCGTTGGGACGATGGTGAAGGGTGGTCCACGGTGGCTGAGTGGGGTCTGGTTTGTGGAGAAAAATACAAGGTTGGGTTGGTTCAAGCTCTGTTCTTCGCCGGCTGCATGATAGGTAAAACACTCACTAACACTCACTCACACACACACACACACACACTCTCTTTCTCTTTCTCTCTCTATATATACTAAATCTTAAGTCACAGGTGCCGGAATATTCGGTCATCTATCGGATTCAAAACTGGGAAGAAAAGGGTCGCTGACGATCGTATGCAGTTTGAGCTTTGTTTTCGGTCTACTAACATCCATCTCCCCCAACTACTGGACCTACGTCCTCCTCCGTGTACTCACCGGATTCAGCACTGGCGGAGTTGGACTCTGCGCTTTTGTTCTAGCCACCGAACCAGTAGGTCTCACCAAGCGTGGTATTGCCGGAATGTCCACCTTCTATTTCTTCTCAATCGGAATAGACCTTCTCTCCGGCATAGCTTACATATTCCGATACTCATGGCGTTCCCTCTACATCGCCTCCTCCATACCCTCCATCCTCTACATCGTTTTCATTCTCCCTTTCATCTCCGAATCCCCTCGTTGGTGCCTTATTCAAGGGAAAACCGATCAAGCCATGAAGATAATGCATAGTATAGCCAAATCCAATGGGAAACACCTCCCCAAAAATGTCTACATTGCCCTGAACGAGGAAGGCAGTGATCATGCTCATGATAACAATGATCATGATCACGATCATGACCATGACACAGTTTCAAATACTATCAGAAATGAAACCAAAGAAACTGTGGTGGTCAGGGGATCAGTGATAGACGTGATCAGGTCACCATTAACAAGAAAACGATTGTTTCTTGTGATGGGAGTCGACTTCACATGCTCAATCGTGTACTATGGACTAAATTTAAACGTGGTGAATCTAAAAACGAATCTCTATCTAGCTGTGTTACTAAATGCTATTGTGGAGATGCCAGCGTATCTATTGACTGCGATTTTGATTGATAGATTTGGGAGGAAGCCGCTTGGGATTGGAACACAGTGGTTCAGTGGGGTGTTCTGTATTATCGGGGGGATATTGGGAAGCCAAGGGATATGGAAGGAGGTTACAATGTTGTGTGGAGTTTTGGGAATATTTGGGATGGCAGGGACTTTTAATTTGATGTTTATATACGCAATGGAGTTGTTTCCAACTGTTGTGAGAAACGTCGCGCTTGGATGTGGGACCCAGATGATTCAGTTAGGTGCGATATTGGTGCCTTTTGTGGTGGTTGTTGGTGGTAGTTTTCCGTTTATGGTGTTTGGGGCATGTGGGATTGTGGGAGGGATTCTTGTATTATACTTGCCGGAGACATTGAACAAGCCCTTGTATGACACCATGAATTAGTAACTATTGGTGGTTGCATGAAAACAGTTCTAAACATTAAAATTACTAGATTGTCCTTGATATAAAATTATATATAGACTAAACAAGACCCTGAAGTTCCATGATTGTTTCAATTACACCCTCTTAACAAAAATGTTTTCAAGTTGATGGCAAGACTATGAACACATCACACATCTCCTTGAACTTCGATTTTATGGCCCCACAATGTCGTTATCTCCCAAAATCTCGGCTATAACTTTGTTAATTGCATTTCCTCTGGCCTAAAAGAAGCAAACAATATATTATGAGAGAAAGAGCAAAAATGAAAATGACGGAAACGCCCTTGAAGAGTACTACTAATTCAAGTTTTGTAGTAATATTACCTTGACTCCAATTGCCATAGCCGTTTTAAGATTAACAATTTCACCTAATTTAAAAGAGCCCCCTTTATTATCTTTCACAAAAATGACGGAAACGCCCCTAGAAGAGGCCAGGCTAGGTAGGTGCTTTGTAAGCGATCGAGGGTTGCAGTCTGTTGCTATAAGTATGGCCTGTTTTTAGTAGTCAGTTTTTAGTTAGCATCATTTTTACATAGAAGGGTAAAATTGTCATTTCAGTCCAAAAAGGAATCAGTTGTTGTCCATAAAGCATTTAGGGGTTGTTTCTTTTCTTTTCTTTTTCAGATTAAGCCCTGGATAAAGTGTAGCATGTTTCTTTTATATACTGAATACGAGACTAAATGACCATTTTACCCTTGCATGCCAATAAAAAACAAATTTTACAATGTTACACAATTTTAAAGTCCCAGATAACCTGCAAATGAAGGGGAGACATTTTAGCATTAGAACTTTCTGTGGGAGAACTTAAAGATCCATGAAGTGGTGGCATCCGTTCAAGCACACGTGTCACATCATTGACACCAATTGAAAACTGTTGCTAATAAAAAACATATACAAAACATCATCAGTCAAAGTTGAAACAACTTATCAAATAAAACTAGATTTAAAGAGAAAAATAAAACCTTAAGCCAAATTTTATGAGGTAAAGATTCATCTGAAAGTCTAGCTAACTTGATTTCTCTGGTGCAAACACAATAAGCTTGTTTTAGTTTGTGTATGAATGTAGAAATTTTAGTGGGGGCATAAAAGTAATATACTGTAATGTATTATAATTTAAATTCATTATAATTTGTAAATTGTAATGCAATGTATTTGTTACCTTTGAATTGAGTTAAGAAGATGGAGTAAACTTTCACCTTCATAAGAACTAAATGAACACATGACAAATGAAATCATAGTTAGTAATACATTGGTGGAAAACAAGAATTGGCTTAAAGTAGGTTATTGATATGTGCATTGAAGTCTCGAACCCTAAAATGAACACAAAAGAAACGGAAATTTACTTTGGCTGTTGAAGAATGGAGTCATTAGAGAGTTTCTGAGGCAATACTACTGAACTTTTGTTTCTGTTTTTCATCCGCATCTTGCATTGAACAGATAATTCGATGTAAATCCCCTTCAACAGAACAGTTAAACAGTTATACTCGGTAAACAAACTCAAAGAAAAACAATAATTTAGGATCGAGAATCACACACACAGTAAAAAAGTTGTAGTTAACAATTAGGTGAAGAACGATCAGAAATTTGCCTACAATAATCAAAAGACAGAATTATGTGTGCTTTTAAGCTCGAATACTCGCTCCATTCAACAATGGAAGCAATTAGCAAAGTTAACTGAAGTTGCATAAGCTGGTTGCTGAAGGTTTGCTAATGTATATGAAGTCAAAGAGTATTACCTATGATTTCTTGGCTAGTGTCGAACTGTCGATTGCAGCTGGCGCTGCTGGAACTGCTGGAGTGGCGATTTGGAGGTGTTCGCGCTGCTGGACTACCGGCGGTGCCGTTGATTGCAGCCTTGCGCTGCTAGACTACCGCCGGGTGCGGGAATGACTAATGAGGAACCGAAGATTGTAACTGCTGTGGAGTGTGGAGGTCGGAATCGTGATGGATTAATGCTCGATCGACTATGAAAAGTGAAAACCCTAAATTGATAAAGGGGTTGAGCATAAAAATGCATGCTATGATTATTTTATCTTTGTGTTTTGTTTTAATAAAATCTATCGGTTAGAGAAAAAAATATTATCAACTTTCTTATATAGGACAAATAATGAAAATTTATGAAGAATTAAATAAACAAAAACATCAAAAGTCTCATGAAACTTACTTAAAGTACAATGATATAATAAGAATAAATAAATGTAGAATGTTATAACAAACAAAACAAAGAAAATACATAGTTATTTCTTGCATTTAGTATGTCACATACATGTTCTACCAGAATCCGGTCACCAAGCAATAGTAGTTGATGTAGTAGAGCCAAGATCTCTTTGTTGTGGATTTTCTCCGCTTATCTGTCCATATACATTTTTAAGATCAGAAACAAGAATTTTTAGTTGGCAAGTCAAAAAAAAGCCAAGATGACTATGTTAATGTATCTCACATCAGTGTGACACGGTAATATAAGTGGTTACATATGTTGGAGTCTCTCTTCTCTCTACAATGGCTCTTTTGAAGAGTTAATATGAGACTCCACATATATTTACATGGTATTAGAGTCTGCATCCCGCCCCCGTGGCTCAGCGCATCCATGTCTATCATCATCGAGCCTCCGACTCTAAGGGGGAGTGTTAATGTATCCCACATCGGTGCAATGCAACACGGTAATATAAGTAGTTATATATGTTGGAGTCTCCCTTCTCTCCACAAAGGCTCTTTTAGAGAGTTAATATAAGGCTCTACATATATTTACAGACTACATAAGGTCTTGTAATGACAAACACATAAAAGGTCTGAAGGTCAACATAAGGTCAACATAAAATAAACATATCACACAACAATATTAACACATATATCATACATAAGGTATGTAACAACAAACGTAGAGAAGTTCTGAAGGTATGCATGCACAACAACAAGCATATAATCAATAACAACCCTGCATCGATTTTGACAATCTTTAATTGATTTATAAATGTAATTTGGTTTTTTGGTTCGGTATGGTCTAAATTCCACAATACCAAAACTCAAACCAAACACCATATTTAAAATTTGGTTTGGTCTCTGACTAAACCAAAAATCAAATTTGAATATGGTTTGGTCTAAAATTGGTTTTGGTTCGATTTTTTTTTGGGTTTTTAAGTTCCAAACCAAGTAATTCTTGACCCTAAGTAAAATGAAGCTTTTAAAAGGGAAATGGGCATAAAAGCTTTTACGTTATCGAAAATAAAAATCTTGTTCTTTCGAAAATTATTCTCCAATCCAGGCAAACAAATTAATCGTCTCCTCAGTTCTCGTCATTCATCTTTCATCACTCCATCAATCACATAAATTAAAAGGCATCTAAAAGTTTTATATCGACGTAGCATGTAAACAGGAAACAAGTTGTGTCGTTAACCCTTTCTGAATGTTAATACTTTAACTTTGAAGGATTTAAAAAAAATGGCATTTAGTCTGTTAAGACTTTCTGGTCAGTAACCTTATGCATACTTGGTTGCCGATGTGGCCCTTCATGACTTCCATCCCCGTTTTATAAACGTTTCACCTATTGAAGGCAAAACCACCAAGAAGCATCAACTTTCAGTGCTGCTTAGCAACCCCGATCCCGAGGGGATGTGAAGTGTGCAAAAACAAAATAGAGCCTGAATTTTAACCAAATTATATAGTTAGTAACGTTAATATATATTACTTAATGTAATCATTTTCTAAAATGACTTGTAGTTTACCTGACTAAGAGTGTTGCCTTTACTCTTTCATGCTAAATGACCAAGGTCCGATTCTAGCCTCCCATACATTATGTGTTTTTTTTATATCATATGTGTATTAATGTATACAAGTTTACGTAAACATTTTTGAAAACTGTGACATCCCTAAATTTACTGTCATTTTAAAAATTTTATTTATGCTTATTTTAAAGCAGAGTATTTCTTTTGTTGTGGAATTGGTCCCTGAATATTATTTCAATGTGAGATGATATTAACATTAAACATTTCCGAAGACACGTTCAATATTGATGTCTTTTTCAAAACTTCGGATGTCATAACTGTTACAAAACATAAGCATAAACAGGTCTTACATTAATTTATACTAATGATCTACATCTCCTTTAATCTCTCGGTGTAATGTATCTTCACATTGATACATGTGATACAAATAAACTGAGTGGTTCAGGTTGAGAAACCTGGTGAGTACATAGGGTTTTCAACCCACAATAATATAGTCAATTTGTTTAATTATAAAACAATTAACTTAATTACCCATCCCCGTTTTCTCTATTTATTATTCCCTATGGATTTATCCTAAGGATCATCTCCTACATCACATTTACCTATCATTGTCTACATCATATTTCCTTATATGTTTGTCGCTAAGGACTTTTCCTAAGGATCATCGCCTACATCGCATAGATAGTATTGTTTCAGGGATTATTCCCCTAATACATGTCCATTAAGGGTTAGAGTATCATTGCATGAATACGTAGTTACTACATCGCTTGATGTAACATCCTGATTTCCGGGAATGAGATTTTGGGGATTTCATGCAATTAAAGAAGCCTACTCGACGAGTTGGAGGCCCCAACTCGTCGTGTAGAAATGAGTCATCCCGCGTGATTTATGAGGTCTACTCGACGAGTCGGAGGACCCCAACTCGACGAGTAGGAGCTGGGGAATGAAACCCTAATTTCCAAGGTTTTACACCCTATTTAAAGGGTCATTAGCCTCCCTCTGCCTCCCTTACCGCCCCCTTGAGCTCAGAAAACCCTAATCGCGCCTACTCTCCATTTTTGTGTGTTAAGAAGCTTGGAAGGTGGATTTTGTGAAGAGAGCTTGAAGTCCAAGGAGCTTGGAGAAAAGAGAAGCATGTGGATCTGATTTCTACTTCATATTAGCATCATCTTGAAGGTAACAAGTCGTTACCTTGATTTCTATTTAGCGAAATCTCTTCATGCAAAGGTTTAGGGCCATT